ATCGGCCCCAGTCAACTGCAGCGGGTGGGAGGGGCAGCCTGGGAAAGCCACAGCCCGACATGGGTCTTCGGCGAGGCTCGCAGCCCTCGCTGCCAACTTGGCTGCGGCACGCCGCGGCTACCCTGGTTCTAAGCCGCCCTCCCGCCTCTCGCAGCGGAAATTGAGGGGAGGACCGGGTGGGGGGGTGGCCGCCGCAGCTGCCCTCCTCCTGCGAGCGGGAAGGGGGAGTCGTCCCACCCTGCTCAGTCCCTGCAGCCGCCCCCCCTCCCCGCCCCGGCTGGCCGCTCCTTACGCGCCAGGCCCCGAGCGCAGCCCCGGCGTCCCCTCCTTTCCCACTCGGATGATGGACAGGAACTACCCACCAGCCCCCAGCTACCCTGATCCATTGGGTTCGGCCGCCGCTGCCGCGTCTTCGCAGCCCGCCACTGTCTGGGCCTATGAACGGGGCGCCAGCAGCCTCAAGCCCAGGTAAGGAGGGTCTGTCCCCCGCCAGCCCGGGAGGCTGCGGCAGGAAAGGCCGGGGATTGAGACGAGGCCTGCCTTCCCTCGCGCGCCCGCGGGACGTGCTCGGAGTGCCTTCGCCTTCCTCGCAGTCGGGCGGCTTCTCTGCTCCGTGGCGTGGGACGGAGGGGAGAGGTCTCCTGGAGAGGAGAGGGCAGAGACGCGTCGCCGGGGCTGGGCCCGCCAGTAGGGGAGCACTGGGGCCCTGGGATCCCCATCGCTCTGGAGCTCAAGCGGGGTTTTAGAGGGGCGTAGCGAGGCAGACTTGCGCGTGGAGGGAGTTCAAGGGACAATGAAAACAGGAGGCGTTGCGTGGTGCAATAGAGGAGGGACGCAGTGGAATTCGTGGCTGCCATGTAGCCCCGAGCCACGCTTTCCCCTCTTCCCCACCATCAGACACCCGCCGTTTTCAACTGGAAAGCGCGTGTGCCGTCCCCACTACCACGGGAGAAGAGTTCATCATGACAGAAGCCCCCTTCCCCTCTCCCCATCCTTTCGTTTCCAGGGTGTCACTGCAAACGCAGCAGGATCAGGGAAAGCTCTTGGCCTCCTTTTCTTGCTTCCAAGGTGCGTGTGGGGCAGGCCGTTCAGGTTCAAGAGTTCATGTTTACTTCCTGCGTTTCCTAGGGGAGGCATTTTTGAGGTCTCTGGGAAAAAACAGGGTAGGCTCCCCCCCCCATCCCATGTATTAATACAGTAATGGAAAGCAGTCCCTTAAAGAGAGGCTTTAAAGAAGGTGTGGCTCCATTTGTTAACTGAGGATCTGGAGCATAAAAAACTATAGTATGTGTGCCTTCGAGGTTGAAAACAGAATTGCCAGGCTGTAAGGGTGGCAGCCAGGGATGGGATTGCCAATTCTGGGTGATCTCATCTGAAAACCACCAGAGACTGATGTGAGCTCACCATATGGATTCCCAATACACCTTCATCATTTTGTGTTTTATTTTGCCAGTTTATTTTTTTCTCCTGTTTTCCATAAATAGAGGTTCATAGCCTTTGGTCTGTATGCCCTACAGCTTAAAACTTTATTCATGCTGAAACTTGCTCGAGAATATTTAGCTCCCAGGGGCTAGGATAGTAACACAAAGAATATTGAATGGGATACTTTCCAAGGATATTTTATTAGATAGAATAGCAAGTGGTTTTCCCATCCTGTAGATATTAAATAAAAAATTTAAAAACTGATTGTTCTATCTATGTTAACATTCATTTAATAATCTGTTTAATGGAGAACCTGTGTTGCTTTTTAAGAGAAGTTGCATATGTTTACCAGTGGTTTGCATTGAACTTGAAATTTGGGCTGTAATATAAGCGTACAGTAAGTGTAAAATAACAACCAAAAAATACAATATATCTTCAAGCCTGTATGTCAGCAAGAATTAAATTAGCTTTGGTTTCTTCAGTAGTCCTTCGTCCTGCGATGGTTCATATGTGTGGGGAGAACTTTGCCTGCTCGTGTATTCCTTCTTCCTGTTCTGCAGCTATGCCTCTTCTGAGAAGAATTTATTTATAGTTTACTTACCAAAACTTAGCAAAATACAAATTGCCTAAGGCAAGAAACACATTTCATTGAGGGAGTTGTTCAGGTGGTATTATGGTGAGAAAGCATAAAAAGGCACACCTGCAAGGTGAGAGGGTGGAGTAGGAAGCTGTCTGAAGCAGTGAAAGAAATTAAAAAATGGGGAAGTTGGTTTCTTATGTTTATGCTGATTATACAGTATCTGTTCATTTCTTTGGGGGGATGAGGGGGTTCCTGACTAAAGTGACAGATTTGATTCTAATGTGAAGATTAGTGGAAAAGATGACCCAGGATATCTGGAAGAAATTAATGTCTCCACTGATCAGCTTCCCTTAATCCTAATTTTTATTAACTTTTGCTTGCATGATTTTATTGCAATAATCAAATCTATAGTGAGTTCTTTTAATATCTCAGAATATATCATTCATCTTATTCAAGTAAATAGTTTATGGAAAATAAAGGAATGCTACTGGATATGCCCCATGTGTAGGATCACTCAAACTTCAATTGTTGCCTATGAGGCCTCCCTTGCTTTGCCCACAGCCCACCCTCAGAAACCCTGTAAAAGCAAAATAATTTAATTC